ACTCTGAAGCGTCTGTGTCGGATTTGTCCAGTGTGGTGTATTGCTGGCATTACATTCATCGTGGTGCAGTGGCGTGCATACAGAGTCCACTTGTAATCCTCGTTCACTAACACAGCAATCTTGGTTATGATACAGAATTGCAGATATTTAACCAAATTAAAAATATTTAAAATAAACACTATAAAGAATTAAAAATTAATAAATCAAGTGTAAGATTATAAACCTCTATTACATGTGAGCTGGATATGGATATATACCTTTTTAATATTTTTTAAATGTTTCATTTTTATTGTAAGGTGCATATATGACACATTTATGTATTGTAATTAATACATATAGATAGATACTTTGTATCATATGGTGTGCATTCTTTGTTATTGACTATTGATTGTATTGGTATTTGAGGGAGTACCTTCAAGGAATAGCACCCTGCTTATAGGTTTGTTGTTATATTAAGTTGGAGTGGTAGGGGCTCCCCTATGCTCTTTTCTATGAGCTGTTGGACCTGTTGCAAGAAGGCAGTGAGCTCCAGGCAGTGCCAGAAAATATTGCTTAGGGTACTTATGTGTTGTACAGGCAGAGTACTGCTCCCTCGCACACAGCCAGAGTGCAGCCCCACTGGACCCCAGGAAAGACCCGCTCAGCTCTCCCAAAAGTAGGGAGGCTGAGTGGGTTTCAATTAAAACGTGTGTGTGTGTGTGTGTGTGTGTGAGCCTGTCAGTGTGTGTGTGTGTGTGTGTGTGTGTGTGTGTGTGTGTGAGCCCGCTGGCCTTGCCAAGTGTGTGTGTGTGTGAGCCTGTCAGTGTGTGTGTGTGGAGCCTGTCAGTGTGTGTGTGTGTGTGTGAGCCTGTCAGTGTGTGTGTGTGTGTGAGCCTGTCAGTGTGTGTGTGTGTGTGTGTGTCAGTGTGTGTGTGTGTGTGTGAGCCTCAGTCAGTGTGTGTGTGTGTGTGTGTGTGAGTGAGCCCGTCAGTGTGTGTGTGAGCCTGTCAGTGTGTGTGTGTGAGCCTGTCAGTGTGTGAGCCTGTCCAGTGTGTGTGTGTGTGTGGAGCCTGTCAAAGTGTGTGTGTGGAGCCTGTCGTGTGTGTGTGTGAGCCTGTCGTGTGTGTGAGCCTGTCAGTGTGTGTGTGTGTGAGCCTGCTCAGTGTGTGTGTGTGAGCCCACCGTGTGTGTGAGCCTGTCAGTGTGTGTGTGTGAGCCCGTCAGTGTGTGTGTGTGAGCCTGTCAGTGTGTGTGTGTGTGAGCTGTCAGTGTGTGTGTGTGTGTGTGAGTCAGTGTGTGTGTGTGAGCCTGTCAGTGTGTGTGTGTCAGTGTGTGTGCGGGAGCCTCGTCAGCGTGTGTGTGTGTGTGTGTGTGAGCCTGTGTGTGAGTGTGTGGTGAGTGTCGGGGTGTGCGTGTCAGCCTGTCGGTGGTGTGAGCCTGTCGGGGTGTGTGTGTGTGTGTGTGGGGGGTGAGAGCGTCGGAGGCCTGTGTGGGTGCCCAGTCGTCGTGTGCGGGAGCCCGTCGGGGTGTGTGAGAGCCTGTCGGAGGTGTCGGTGAGAGCCTCGTCGGAGATTCGTGTGGGGATAGCCGGGGGGTGTGGGGAGTGCCCGTGAGAGTTCGCCTCGTCGGGTGTGAGAGAGCCGTCGGTGTGTGGGAGCCTGTCGGGGGTGTGTGAGTGTCAGTGTGGGAGCCTGTGCAGGTGCCAGTCGGGAGGTCGGGGCATGTTTGAGAACCTGTCGGTGTGTACGCGGAACGCCTCATATGTGTGTGCAAGCAAGGATGTTTTCAGCTTAAGAGCGTGGGCGCCCGTCAGGAGACTGTGGCAGATGCGCGCCGCCGCGCTTCGTCAAGAGTTTCGCGCAAGCCTGTTGCCGGATGCATGTGAGCCTGTCAGGTGTGTGTGTGTGTGTGCGCGTGCGTTTAGGTACCTGCCCCCTCCGATCGTTTTTACTCCCCTTTCCCCCCCTGTTTTCTTACGCCTTGCCAGTTTCCCCATGGCTGAGATTATCAATCTTTATGATCTCAGCTAAGTCAATGCTTTCCCTTAGGAAAGCATTGGGAGGCTATTGTGCATGCGCAGCAAATGTACCAATCTGCATCTCTTCATAGAGATGCATTAAATTAATGAATTTCTACAAGGAACATTCAGCACCTCCATGCAGAGCTTGGAGATGCTGAATCTGGGTGCTGCACGTGGTGCAGCAGTGACCCAGGACTCTCTAGTGACTGTCACTAGAGGTGTTACTAGCCAGCAATCTTTACACTAAAATGCCTGCAGGGACAGGCTATAGACACCAGAACAACTACATTAACCTGCAGTGGTTCTGGTGACTATAGCGTCCCTTTAAGTATTGCATTTTCTCATTGAAAATGACTGGCTCCTAACTTGTTTAGCTGGCTCCTAGATTCCAAACAAATTTGTCAAACCCTGGTGTGTGTGTGTGTGTGTGTGTGTGTGTGTGTGTGTGTGTGTATGCTATCCAACTACATCCACTATTAACTATATTGTGTTTTTTTGTTTTTGTTTTTTTTTTCCTTTTTTTTTTCTTAAATATAAAATCTAACCCCCTGTATTTGTAAATACTTTGTAAGCGCTGCACTCGCACTTATAAGTTTTAGGTGGTGAGGTAGATCACCTAAACTTTGTTACATTTTCATTTTGGTTTACTAAGATTATAAACCACCTCAGGCAGAGTCAAAAACTATACAATCTTACATAAAACAAGTGGTGTCAAAGTCCACCTTCAATCTACGATTGTATAGTACTACGCCTGTATATCCAATAATATTGTTTTGTCAGTGTTGACACCGGTACCCCCAGTGTGATTTAACCAGCTCTTTAACTAGTCAGGGCAACTTATATTTTCTCTGTGGTATTAATCTTTTTGTAGTGTAATATTTTGATATTAATGAAATGTCCCTAGTTAAGCTGTACGACTGACAGAATGCACTTTGTGAGCCTAGATATGAAGATACATGACCCCTTCAATTACATCGCTCAATTTAACCTGCTCCCCTGTATCTGTGATAGAAAAGATTGTAACGTTTTTAGGCAAATGTTTGCAACCCTTGCTTAGAAAAGTGGCAGTCTTTGTGAAGAGTCCTTTTTGAGGAATAGATTGCTGTTAGCAGTAGAAAAGCAAATTTTCACCTACACATGTGCATGCAGATATGCTTGCCCATCAAGTGGGGATGCCCCTGCCCTCATGAGTTGGTATTGGTGGTTAGACTGATGCATGTAAATCTTACTCAGCATCTTGTAGATTTGTACTCGGCATTTTAAGTTCCTCAGCTATTGCTATACACATTGTGTCTTTATGTGGCTATCTGTTTGTAGTCAACGTTATATTTCTGATGCAACCTGTTTGCAAAATTTCCCCACAAAATAATGTGCTTTTTTATTTAGTTCCATGAATGTCAATGCATTGTAAATAACTACAGGAAATATGGTTGCATTAAAAATGGGCAGCCCTCCCTCATCCTTATTAATTATCCACGTCACAGGGTGAGGCTCTGATTTCATCACTAAGACATGCTGGGACTCCTGCACAGATATCTAGGAAGTGATATACAATGCTAGATGAACACGGTCACCAGTGTGTGCGATGTATACAAAAGCGCTGGGCTGAGTTCCCTAAATCAAACCACATCTGAAGATCTGGATTCTTTGATGGCCAATTAATTTTTTTTTTTTTTTTACTTAGTTGTATTATATTGGTTTACTTGCACAGAGATCTTTTCTGAGTGCAACCCTACTTCAAAAACCCAGCTTTGCCTTCTTTTCATGAACTGCTAAGAGGGCATCGGGCCCTCGGATAAACAGGAGAAATAATTTTTTTTTATTTTTTTTTTTAATATATGCATTTTAAGTGAGTCTAAGTCAGGTGTAGGCAACCTTTGGCACTCCAGATATGGACTACATCTCCCCTGTTGCTTTGCCAGCGTTATAGCTTTAAGAGAATTATGTCCTTAAAATGCTGATATTGGTTGTCTACCGCTTCAAGCAATATGACGTCTACAACTTTGCCATTTCTCAGTTTTATATGAAACTGTTCAAGTTTGGCTTCATATAAAAATGACTCCCCAGTGCAGAGCAAAAGCTCTCACCTTGGCCGCATTGATAATACAGGATTAAGGCATTGTCCAAATCCTCAATATTCACATTCTCTCACCCCTCTCGACCAAGCAATGCCTCTCAGGTTGGGCATAATTAACAATGGCTCCTCTGTACCAGTAAGGCCCTTGGTTTATATCAAACTGTTCTTAAACTGTTTATTATTAACCAGAGTGATGACGCTAGGGCATTCAAGGCAGTGCGACGAACGTTATTTATAACAAAATTGCTTGCCACTGCTTTGTTACAGTAGATATATTTGAACGATATGTAAATACCTGAGCTAACATGATCTTATAAGACCCATGATCTTTCAAAATTTTATCTGATATTTATGTACATCTCATATAGATTCATAAGGAATTAAGCTACTAATGTTCAGTTTCATTTAATGTCTTTTAATAAATGTCAATCTCTCAATTACAAATCTTATGAACGAGTGCTCAGTAGGAGATTTGAGATATGTACAGATTAGTCACATTCAAAGAGACGAGAAGGCCAAGGTTGAGTGAGAACTCTCGGCCAATTCCTGGTGCCCACAGAACCTACAAAAAAAAATATATATAAATATTAAAAAATATATATATATATATATATATATATATATATATATATATATATATATATATATATATATATATATATATATATATATATATATATACTCTACATATATATTTATGTATATATATATATATAATTTTTTTTATTTTTTATTTTTTTTTTTATATAAATGCATGATCTTCATAATGGTAAGATGGCAACATCAGTCTGGTCTTTCTTCTTTAAGGTACCGCTTGTTTTAATCCAGTGCTTTTGTCGATAGGGTGGTAAATTGAACCAGGTGTCACTTTTCAATTTTAATGTTTTTTTAAATGTTTTATTCATTCTTTTTAGCCATGAAGAAATGCGTGCACACATGTATTCAGCTCCAAGTTATGAAGATGTAATGAGAGAATATGAGTCTCCTCATCCTACGGAGCTTGCCAGAAATGAAAGAATGAGCATTACCCTTCCTTCGTACGAGTCCTTACATGATATCGACGAGCTGACCCCAACTAGACCTCAGGAGGAATCTGCTAAAACTGACCTTCCACAAAGGACAGATTCTCGTTCAGAGAAACAGAAAAAACCCTTGCACGTTAGGAGAATTAAATCTGATAAACTTCATCTTAAGGAGTTTAGATTAAATTTGTCTGGACAAAGTAATGTTTCCAAGATCCCGGCCATCGAGCCTATAACTCCACCACCACAATATGATGAGAAACAACTTGGGGTAAATCAAAATGTGTAGACAACTGACTTACAGGATTTCCGGTGTATTAATTCCATATTATTTTTTTTGTTAACATCTGCATTATACATGTAAGTGACACTAGCATCATGGAAAAGCAACGGAGAGGTCTCAGAATCTGACAATGCTTTTCAAATGAGTTTCAACCCTTTTTGTTGTTTTTTTGTTTTTTTGTTTTTTTTGAATATACACACAACTTTTCTTTCCCCTGTTTGTTTTTGCATGTCTAGATGTGATAAATGTGCTGCTAAACTTCTGAAAAATTCCAAAATGGATTCTACGCAGTTTCCTAACCAGCTACCCCTCCACTATGGAAGAAGTTGGCCACATTTTGCTTTTCTAACCCTATTTTTTTTTGCTGGGAGGCTGGACAAGCTATGCATTTTCAATCGTTCACATTCCCTGACTACACAAATGTAATGCTTAAAAATATCAGGGTCCATTTATAAAGTAAATTAAGAATTATATTGGTATAATCCTTTACTCTTTATTACGAGGTCCTGTAACCTTGACGCACCACAATGAAAAATATGTGAAATACAAGGCAATATGAGACCTTTTTTTGTTCTTCTCAAATGTCCAGATCAAAGCACTTAACTTTTGAATCCGCATTTTGTAAGATATCCACCAGAGGGTGCTGGTGTGACAGTTAATATTAATTTGTTTAGACTATGCTGAAACAATGTAACCATATGTAAACTCTAACAAGTTGCCTTACGTAGCCATGGTACTGTGCCAGTCTTGAGGTGGGTGATGCCCACATTAATGTGTATTTTTTTGGGTTTCTGCCTAATCAGTGTTTTTTTTTTTTTTTGTTTTGTTTTTCATATTGCCTGGTTTTAAAGCTGAAGCATCTTGTTTTGAAATGTGAGGCAAGTTCCGCCTAACAAAAAATACTCTTTCACAAGATTTGTATGACTCATTTGACCTATTTTGTGCCCAGTCTCTGAAATAGGCAATACCACCATTCATGGACACAAATCTTATCCTAAAATTCTTTATAATTGAACATTAAACTTATTTAATTAAAAACACTCACTTTTTTCCTCTTAAATGTTCTCTATTGTGTGTTTGTCTTACCAGATGTAAATTCAGTGCTTGAAATACCTAGTCCTATGGGGCTTGGCTCATAAAAGCCTTTTTCTTTTTTACTGTAAGATGGACTGTGTTGAAGGCTTTCTCCAGCATCACTTGTACATCCGGTTATGGTATGATCATAAAGAGCATGTATTGTGAACTGTATATTTTACAACACTTTAAGGACCACTCTAGGCACCCAGACCACTTCTGCTTAATGAAGTGGTCTGGGTGCCTAGTCCAGCTAGGGTTAACCCATTTTTCTATAAACATAGCAGTTTCAGAGAAACTGCTATGTTTATAAATGGGTTAATCCAGCCTCTAAAGCCTCTAGAGGCTGTCTCATTGACAGCCGCTAGAAGCATTTGCGTGCTTCTCACTGTGAAAATCACAGTGAGAAGACGCCAGCGTCCATAGGAAAGCATTATAAATGCTTTCCTATGCATTATAAATGCTTTCCTATGCGACTGGCAGAATGCGTGCGCAGCTCCTGCCGCGCATGCGCATTCAGCCAAAGAGGAGGAGAAGAGAAGGAGAGCTCCCTGCCCAGCACTGGAGAAAGGTGAGTGTTTAACCCCTTCCTCTCCCCAGAGCCGGGCGGGAGGGGGTCCCTGAGGGTCAGGGCACTCTCAGGGCACTATAGTGGTCCTTTAAGCACTATAAACATTACAGTCTGCTGTAATGCTTATGGTGCCAGGAGTGCATAGGTGCCCTTCCAAGGTAAGCAGTCAAACTGCTTGCAAATGGTTTGACCATTTGCCTGGGCTCCACTGAGCACTGGTCACCTCTTCCTCTGCTGCAAGAGGCTCGCTGCATTGAGCAAAGACCTGCAGAACAGGACTTGGCTTAATAGCTAATCGTGTTGAAGTGATGCTCTTGGCTAATAAGCTGTCTGAATACAGCAAGGCTTAGCTCAGTGAAGCTAGCAGGAGTTTCACACTCCAGCAGAGTCTGTAGCCACTCCGCAATAAAACGCATCAAAGTTGCCAAACTGTAGTGGTTATGGTGCTTGGATTGTTCCTTTAAAGTGAATAACATTTCATCCATATATTGTAATAGTCAAATTGCCAACCAATGTATAAACAAAAACTAATTCGGTTATACTGCTCACTCGGAGGTCTGGAGGCCACCCCACTCTCATGCGACACTGCAGCATACATTTTCACGTCCAAACTCTTCCAGAAGGTGGGTAGCAGTTCAGGAGTCCATGCTGTATGGAAGGAGTGCTCTTCAGGCTAGTATATCTTTTAATCTATACACTTGCTGGAACTTTTACCAGCACAGTGTACAAATTGCATATATAGCCCCCTTCTTGTAAACTTTGACACAATAAACTTTTTTTTTTTTTTTGGTGTGAGAAAATGTGTGTTTAAGAACCTTTTTTAGTTTTACTAAAGAGGTGTACAAAGAATCAGTTTAAATTACATCTGTCATAATCAGAATAACTTGGTGATCCATAATTAACTAGTACATTTCTGTTCATAGTGCTAGCCAAACTGCTAATAAATGGGTAATTTTATTCCATGTATTTCTATTATTCTGACATGTCTGCTGGTGGAAGGACTACAAATCGACCATGCAGCCATGCGCTAGGCATTATATGACGCCATGTACATCACCTGGGGGGGCCTGGTGAATATGTGCAGAGTCTTCGTGTTCAGGTAAGTATGGATTTCAATCTGTAGGTTTGCTGGCCATGTCCCTAGTGTAATTAATATTTTAGATGTACACCTACCAAAAGGCGACCTGTACATGGTTTTTGTTTGTTTTTTTGTCATTGTGTTCTAGATTTTAAAAAGGACATCAGATTTTATTGCACAGTACTATGAAGTTTTACCAAAGAGCTAAATATTTTTTAACCTTTTTTGAAATAAATTCTGAAACCACCACAATCTTGGATTTGTTTATGCACTGGTAATATTTAAACTAAAATATAAAAGCATTGACAAAACGTGAAACATGGAATTATGTCTTGTTATATTGTGTTTACCTTACTCTTCTTTTGAACATGTACAGTTATATTTAGTTTTTTTTGCAAAGGGGAAAGAGAACTTGATAGCTCTTTAAATATTTGTTAATAAACAGAAACCTGAACACACATTGGCATCTTGGATCTGTACTGTTGTGATTTGCATTGTCCACATTTTCTGAATGCTGATAAAAGCTTCTTAAGGCAAGGTAAACGATGTGAGAAAATAGTCCTAATTTAATTGGGTTCACATATGACAAAAGACTCTTCATTTACTCTTGGACCTTCTAATTAGACCACTTGTGTCATTCTCCTGATCACCATGACACATTCTGGTGGCCCATACACTATTTGTTTCTCATCTTTGTTGTATGCAATCCACCAAACAGCCTATTCCACCACTCTGACGGAAGTCGCCGTTCTATTCTGGTTGATCTTATAGACCCGTGTGTCAGAGTCCCAGACACAGCCAACCCACTTTCTCATTCTTGCCCAGAGACAATTTGTTGGTCTTTGTATGGCCTTGATCTGACCACGGAAGCCTTGACTCAAGATCCTTTGGCTACTGGTCAGTGGAGGTGTAACCTGGTTGGTACATTCTTCTCTTGGTGGCTGTACTTTAGTTAAAATATATTCATGTCACAACACATGAGGATCCTCTGCAAAATACAAGGCATTCCAAATGCAAATCGAGAAGAAAAATGGACAAGAGTATCATAGAACCTTAGCATGGTCGGACTTAATGCTTCGAGCATGCGAGAGTTTATATTGGTCCATACCTTTGCATCAATTTTACATGATACATGCATGTGCAGAGCACCAGACAGAACGCCAACCAGTTAACACATTAAAAGGGCATTCACTTTAAGTTTGAATGTGGCAACAATAACGTGACCTAGTTGAAAATGTTTTGTCCAGAATGACATGGCTGTTCTAATTTTACAGTGTGAAGCTAAGGACTGTGTTAGCAATGACACGGATGCTTCACTTCACATTTCCTTTCACCACTCTGCCACTACACCACTGCCAGCGGAGCAGTCACCGTTGGGGGTCTTTGCAAATTAGGCAAATACTCTAGACTGTGACAGAGGCGCTTTAAGTGTCCCATATGGTCCTTACTCCTTGTCTGGGCACTCCTACTGTTTAAATATCGTATTGGTATATAAACCCTATTACAAATACAATAGAACAGAGTGCGTTGTCAAGCTGTGGCTGGGGTGTGTTTGAGAAAAGTAGCTGCTCTTCCTCCTCCGATTTTCAGAGGATCCTGCTGAAAGCTTGCCAGGAAAATGGCAGCTCCTTGGGGACAATGGCTGCTGCTATGGTTCCTGATGCTGTCTGACTCTCAAGCCATGGACCAGCCCTCCTGTTTGTGTGAAGTCCACTTTTTTTTTTTTTTTCCTGTTCTGTCGCTTTCATGCACTCTCTGGTTATACCCCCTACTCTTTAAGTATCTTGTGTAACCTGATCCATGTTCCCTGTTACATTTATTTCACTATATCCTGTGGAAATCCATCACTGCATCAATTCAAAATCTATATCCCGTTGTTTCTAATGAAACCATTTCTTCCAGATCTGATGCCAGTGTCAAAACAAATAATACTTAGCAATAGTAAAATCCAATATAGAAATGCTGGAGGGAGGATGATGAATAGCAGATATTAAATGCTGCGTTCATGTCTACTCTGAGCAGCAATACGTATAGCTTGATATGAAAGTTTGACGGTAGCATATTCTATAATTAACCTAATAGAAAACAGACTGTACACCGGGTAATGTCTTGCACTCTAGATACATTGCAAGTTTTGTATTCTTACACCACACCACTGGAATGTAAGCTTTGAGATAAACCTACATCACGTCTTATTCCTGACATGTAAAAAAAACAAAACTTTTAACTATTGAATGTGCGGCTTAGATTTTCTCATTGTTTTCAGGGTTTTTCTTGTGGTGCCGAGGTCGGGACCCAAATCATTCATGCTTGTTTTATCTTTGAAACAATGATGCAACTCTGCCAGAAATTGAACCGGTTGCCCTAATATATCAACCGTTCCCAAATACTGACTTGTTAAACAATAGAGATATCTCACCTATGTTTACGTTTGTTTTTTTTTTTTCCTGTACCATTACCGGTATCTTTTGTTTAGTTGTACAGGGCAGTGTATTGGTGAAAGGTAATATATTGGTTATTTTCTATAAATTAAAAGTAGACCGTTAATGATCTGTTGGTCATGTCTATCAAGGAAAGTTCATTTTATGTTTTATTCGACTTTCGGTATTGCAGATTTGCTAACAGTATTCTATAGATATACACAAAACGGATAATAACGAATAAATCAAACTGCCCTAAGCAGCAAACATATAAAACAGTTTGCACGTACGAACGGGTGGATAGTATACGAATGCAAAAATATATATTGAAAAAGTCAAAGGAATACAGTTCAAATTTTCACAAAATGACTTTTAATCCTTACGTGGGTACAAGTAAAAAGCAGGAAAAAAAAATCAATGGTGCAGTATTTCTCAAAGAGTGACTAACATGTAAATTATGTAAGTGCCCAATCACGTGGTATAGAGCTTCAAACAAACTCTGGTAACAGTTTATAGTGGTATAATCCCCACTTATGGATACAGATGTCTTAACATTTGCTTCATTGATTTTCAGTGAAGAATATGAAATGAGACAAAATCCTGTTGTGCAATATTACAAATATAAAGTGAATAATGTGTACAATAAAAATTACAAATTACACTCACAAAGGAGGAGCTTACATCTCAAACTCAAGTTATCAAGCACAAGACTGTACAATCCCCTCCTTAGGATATATCCTAGCCACAAATTCTTCAGCAGCATATATGAATATGGAAAAAGAATTAAAAAAAATGTATAGTGCTCACTGTTGGAATAAAAATATTTTTTAAAATGGTACAATCCCCATCAAAGATCATATGTCCAAAGGGACGTGCTCCACAAGGTATGCCCGGAACACGGTCAAAAAAATAACAGGTCCAATAGGAGTATAAACCAAAACCGCTTTATTATCATGTTAAAATCAAAGTACTAAAAACATGTTTAGCCTATTATAGCGTGAAATTAAAGGGCATCTGGCACAATGGATTTGCCTTACATAATCGAGGCAAGACTTGGGGTTATTAACTAAAGTGAGAATTCAAAATGAATTTTAAATTTAAGGCCAGAGTAGCTGAACTGAAAGCATTGCTGACTGGGACAATTTTTCCAATTTGACTGATTTATCCTGAAAAATTTAAATACATTTTAAATTCTCATAGTGAATACCTTTTGTAAAGGTTCAGAAACAGCACTAATTAGACATGTACCCTTTCACTTGTTCTTTTGTACAGTTGTCACTCTTCTCGATCTTGCCCACCAGGTGGTGAATCTCATCCTCCTAAGGATGATCGTCATCAGAGGAGGACTCCTGATCACTTTTTTGCTAATATTTAAAGGTATTTGAATGTTCATAAAACTTTTTATTTTGAGTTTTGTTCGTATTCTGAGTTCTTACAACTGTTATCTGATGTTTCAGTGCCTCCACTCTGTAGTGAGTAATTTCTACGCAAGTCAATCCGTCAATTTTTAGAGAAATCCTTAGCATTTTTGGGTTTGTGTTATTTGACCAAAACCAGCATCTGACATTGAAAGCTTGAAGGAGACATAAATACTGTCCTGGATATGAAGAAAAAACAACATTCGACTGACATTATACAGTAGGTGGGGAAAAAGAACAAATAGTCTATTTTTATGGTGTTTATATTGGCCGATCTTGACTTCTACTATACAAAGTCCACAAGTACTGTAAAACTGCTGTTAGATGCTACAAAACATTCTTTCATGTAATTCCCATATTGTGTTATACAATAATCTTAAATACCACCCATGATCATAGATGAGACTGTGGGCAACTGAAGATGCTTCAAAAATGTCACACAGGTACAATTAAAGATTTCCTTTTTTTTTTTTTTTTTTAACCCAAATAGAAAGCCATTTGAAATGTTTATTATTATTATTATTATTATTATTATTATTATTAGCAGCATTTGTATAGCGCCATGTGCAGTGCTTTACAATTACAGTTGCAAGTAAAAGTATGTGAACCCTTTGGAATGATATGGATTTCTGCACAAATTGGTCATAAAATGTGATCTGATCATCATCTAAGTCACAACAATAGACAAGTCTGCTTATAGTCTGCTTAAACTAAAAACACACAAAGAATGAAATGTTGCCATGTTTTTATTGAACACACCATGTAAACATTCACAGTGCAGGTGGAAAAAGTACGTGAAACCTTGGATTTAATAACTGGTTGAACTTCCTTTGGCAGCAATAACTTCAACCCAACGTTTCCTGAAGTTGCAGATCAGACGTGCACACGGTCAGGAGTAATTCTTGACCATTCCTCTTTACAGAACTGTTTCAGTTCAGCAATATTCTTTGGATGTCTGGTGTGAATCACTTTCTTGAGGTCATGCCACAGCATCTCAATCAGGTTGAGGTCAGGACTCTGACTGGGCCACTTCAGAAGGCATATTTTCTTCTGTTTAAGCCATTCTGTTGTTGATTTACTTCTATGCTTTGGGTCATTGTCCTGTTGCAACACCCATCTTTTGTTGAGCTCGTAGACAGATGGCCTTAAGTTCTCCTGCAAAATGTCTTGATAAACTTGGGAATTCATTTTTCCTTCGATGATGGCAATCCGTCCAGGCCCTGACGCAGCAAAGCAGCCCCAAACCATGATGCCCCCACCACCACACTAGAGTTGGGATGAGGTTTAGATGTTGGTGTGCTGTGCCTTTTTTTCGCCACACATAGTGTTGTGGGTTTCTTCCAAACAACTCAACTTTGGTTTCATCTGTCCACAGAATATTTTGGCAGTACTGCTGTGGAACATCCAGGTGCTCTTGTGCAAACTGTAAATGTGCAGCAATGTTTTGTTTGGACAACAGTGGCTTCCTCTGTGGTATACTCCCATGAAATCCATTCTTGTTTAGTGCTTGATGTATTGTAGATTCGCTAACAGGGATGTTAGCATTTGCCAGTGACTTTTGTAAGTCTTTAGCTGACACTCTAGGATTCTTCTTCACCTCATTGAGCAGTCTGCGCCGTGCTCTTGCAGTCATCTTTACAGGACGGCCACTCAGCAGTGCTGAACTTTCTCCATTTATAGACAATTTGTCTTACCGTGGACTGATGAACAGCAAGGCTTTTGGAGATACTTTTATAAACCTTTCCAGCTTTATGCAAGTCAACAATTCTTAATCGTAGGTCTTCTGAGAGCTCTTTTGTGCAAGGCATCATTCACATCAGGCAATGCTTCTTGTGAAAAGCAAACCACCACTGGTGTGTGTTTTTTATAGGGCAGGGCAGCTGTAACCAACACCTCCAATCTCATCTCATTGATTGGACTCCAGTTGGCTGACATCTCTTTCCAATTAGCTCTTGGAGATGTCATTAGTCTAGGGGTTCACATACTTTTTCCACCTGCACTGTGACTGTTTACATGGCGTGTTCAATAAAAACATGGCAACATTTCATTCTTTGTGTGTTATTAGTTTAAGCAGACTGTGATTGTCTATTGTTGTGACTTAGATGATGATAAGATCACATTTTATGATCAATTTGTGCAGAAATCCATATCATTCCAAAGGGTTCACATACTTTTACTTGCAACTGTATAAAAGGGGGATATTTGAAGGCCCTGCTCAAACAAGCTTACTATCTATGAACCAGACAATAAAATAGTTTACACTGGCTTCTTCCCACAGTTTGTCAAAGTACTAATTTTAAAAGGATCATAGCAGAATAGCCATGTTACACAAAGCACACTTAGATGTAACAATACAGCAATTTATTTGAGCATATCTTGTACTAACTGTTTAATAGAAGCTGATAATGTCTTGTGTTTTATTTTTTATTTATCTTTATACTAAAGTGCAATTTATTTCCCATTGTAGCTGGTGTTCTGGACCTTCTTCTGATTTCATGCATTAAATAAACCCAGAACTTCTCAGTCCTTCGCAATACAGTTGTGCTCAAAAGTTTGCATACCCTTGGAGAATTGGTAATATATGTAAGATTTTTAAAGAAAACGTGAGCAGGCAAAACACATTTCTTTTATTTTTTTTTTTTATGGGATTCATATTCAACTGAAGGTTCTTAATACTGTGCATGCTGTCATTGATGCTAAAATGGGCAATACAGTCTTTTGTAATAGTTGTTTGAGGCCCCTAATTCTTGCAGGTGGTATAGCTGCCCGTTCGTCTTGGCAAAATGCCTCCAGGTAATGCAAAGTCTTTGGTCGTCTTGCATGAACCACATGT